AACAAGATTTTGCAGCAAACTTTACGCATGTACATCCGTCCCGATCATATTGACTGGGATGAACATCTGCCTAAGTTGTCAGTGCCTATAATAACTCTGTACATCTATCTACATGTAAGACTCCTATGGAGTTACATCTGCGATGGCGTCCACGCAGACCCATTGATCGGTTGAACCCGGATCAAGTACATAAGCTTCCTATAGGGACTAGTGAATTTGCAGTCCAATATCAGAAAGACATTGAGAAGGTAAAAGAAAATATAAGCACAACATCAGATGATTGAACAGGCAAATAAGCATAGACGCCCGTCTCAATTTGCTGTAGGAGATTTGGTTTTGGTAGAGTCTAAAGAGTTTGCTCCTGAAGAGAACGTCTCTCAGAAGCTTCTACCCACCTACAGAGGACCTTGGCAGGTTCTAGACGTCATTGGAGATGTGGATGGTCCTTCGCATGTCATTGAGATTCCTCCTCATCTACGTACATATCCAGTGTTCCATGCGTCCAAGCTCTTACCTTGTGTAATGAATGAGCTCTTCCCAAGTCGCCGATCAGCGATACCTCCAAGTATGGATGGGAAGTATGACGTGGACGTAGAGGCAGACCACAGCGACAGTATAAGGTGAGGTTTGCATACCAGGATCCTAGTGAAGATCGCTGGTTTACAAGAGAAGAGTTCTTAGATTCTGCACCTCATATTGTATCTGCGTACGAAAGCGCAAAGAGAGGAATTCATATCCTTGATAGGTAAGTGATTCGCAGAGGACTTCGAATTTAGGCCGGGGAGAGTAAAAGGGCATTTACCCGATATAGGCCTCGGGCCTTGTAAAAGTAAAGCAGCTTGGGCCTTGTAAAAGTAAAGCATTGTGAAAAGGTATCTCGCCAGGGCTCAAAAACGTGAAAGCAGGTCAAAGGTCAAGTTCTCTATCATCAGGCACATCTAGATCTAAAGCAAAGGGCATTGTCAAAAGACTTACCTGTTCACCAGGAGATGTGTATGTCATGTATGTTCGGGTAAGAGTGTGTCTGTACGTGCAGGCAGTGTACCTGTTCGTGCAAAGGAAAGTGTCTATTCAAGCGGTAAATGTGTCTGTTTGTTGAGAGTTGTGCGTGTCCGAAAGTAAAGTCAATAGGCACAGTCCCAATTCTGGTCTAAGTCAAGGGGTCAGTCCAGATCCAGACTTTCAAGTCCAAATACAGGCCGAGAGGCCTCAGCAGCAGTTGAACTTCATTGGAACTCTACTGGGACACATGCAATGCAGGGTCTGGGACAAAGGAAAGGCCGAATTGAGCCAATGCAGACCCAGCCAGGAGTGGCCAGCACTATAAAGGGAGCTGCCTGCCTCATTCCTCGCCAGATCTCCACTGGCTTGAATGCGTGGAAGTGCTGGTGCACTTGTGCGTTAGTCAGTAG